CTTCACTTTTTATGCTTGGAGGAAAGAATCTACAAAATGTTAACAAACTATAGCATATTATTATACTGGAGTTTTGTTAAAAGAGTTTTTTTAAAAAACATTATCATAACAATAATAAATTATGCTGAAAAAATAATATTAAATATTGATAGTATTACTTCTGATGTGGGTTTATAATTGGTGAGTTTTTCATAAAAACTTCTATCACCAATTATAGATTTAAAACACTTGAACAAGCTTGTAAAATCAAAAAGGTATGGACTTGAAGTTTGCTTATAGACTAAGTGTATGAGCACCTTAATGAAAAATATTTCAACAAAATGAAAGTACCAAGCAACATGTAATAAATCGTGATATTAGTTGTGGATTAAATTTTATTTCAAATGCAAAACAAAAGACGATTCGATGTTCACAAATTTGATTTTCTTATGACATTTACTCAGGACTGCTTAAAATCCTTTTTTCAATAGTGCGTAAAAAACAATTCCTAGAGCTCTTCAATTCAAAAATGATTGGATCTTTTTTATTTTGCCCGTTTCTTGAAACTTCTTGAATCATCAAAGGACAGTAATAATATAGATGAGCGTCAATTTGTTATCAGATTTTCTTGACATATGTAATAGTACAAAAGTCAATGTCACTTTGTAACTTAAGTCAAAATCCAGAAGCAATATTCTTGATAATTTTTGTCACTTACACGCAAGGTCAGGTATACACTCTCAGGGGTCCTAAGCTGATTCAACTTTTTAGGCCCTCTAAAAAATTTTGAATAGAAAGCATTTATATAGTATATATAGCATTAAACCGTTCAATGTTCGTCTTTTTATTTCTTTAGTTTAGTGCTACAGCTTATATATAGTTTTTTTTTTACAATTCCTTTTAGAATTTCTTTTTAGAATTTCCTAAAAATTATTACTTCAGTAATACATGATATCAGTCTGCAAAATTCTTATTTTGTTCTTTTTTTTAATTTTTCATTTCAACTATCTTTTTTTTTAATATATTAGACATCCTAATTCTCTCCTCTCTTGTTACAAGCATCTCATTTTGCATTTGATCTTCAGATTACCAGCAAAAACGTAATCTTGAATAAGTTGAATATTTCTTTTGAAGTAGTTATTACTTACTTCTGTTAAAATCATTCCAGCGCCAAAACCTCACTAAACCTATACGTAATAATTAACTTCTTTAAACCACCCTAATATATATGCCTATATGGCGCTCAAAATGAAGCAAAAAAAATTGTTTTAACAAAGCTTGGTCATGACATTCATGAAATTAATTCTTATATTGAGACCAGTAATGTTCCTTAGCCGTGTAAAAGCAATATGCCTTAGAGATAAAAAAAAAAACTTTGATATTAATCCCTAAATTTGATTTCAGGTAAGAGTAATTGAGGCTTGTAAACCTTCGACGGTGCAGACGGTATACTTCAATGATACGGGCAAGATTTCTTTGACGGTTCGGACGGGATTCTTTCTAATGGGAGTAACATAATAAAACATTCCAGATCTGCAAAATAAGTTACCGCCCAATAAGAATCTTTGGTTGGTGATAATTGTTTTAACTCTACTATAATTCTAAATTTAAATAATAAAATTGCAAAATCGTAACCGATTTAAGCAACACAAATTCTTGTCAACTTAACTGATTAGGTGTTTTTGTTTAATAATGATTTTAAAATTGAATTGAAAGATTTTTTTATTATTATTACAATTATTTACTTTTTTTTTGTTAATAGTTTCAGTATGAATACTGGATCACTAAAGCTGGGAAGACTAGTTTCCAATGACTCACTCGTTGAAGTTTACAATGAAGCTTTCGATATAAAAAACTATCTTCAAAGTAAAACTTGCGGTGTAAATGGTCGAGAATATTATGAAGACCCTTTTTATGTATGTGATTTAGACGATATTATTGAAAAACATTTGATGTTTTAAAACCTGCTACCTCAAATAAAGCCGTTTTTTGGTATATAACTTTGTTAATAAAAACTTACTATTAATATCATAAATTAATCAACATCCATTACAAATTTAATAAAATAAAAAAAATTTTTAGTAAAAGACTTAATAATTCATATAAAAATCTAAATTAATTAAGCTTTGATGAATTGCTTTTATTAAATATAATCAAATTTCTAAGATAAATATTAATAACAAGGTTTATTTAAAAGTAACTTAAATACTATTTTTACTATATCAAATATCTAATTTGGTATAGTAAAAATACTATATAAAATTAGATATTTGATATTAAAAGAAGTTTTAATTACTTTAGTTATATTTATTGTTTTGAAAAAGAAAACTTTGAATATATCATTTAAAACGGCTGTGCTCTTTGCATTAAGATGTTTACTAACAAAAAGATATTTACTAACTTAAAAACATTTAAATGAGGTTTTTTTTAACATATTCATTTTGATATAAAACTAGTTTTGTTAGATTTTGGGAGATTTATTTAACACTGAAAACTGTAGCTTTCCATCTTAAGATACAGCGTCACAAAATGATTGGTCCATAATTTTACAGTAGGTCTAAAACTGCTTGAAAATCTAGATTTTTTGATGGATCAAGAAAGAATGATCTATACCTCTAACATTAATTCTACAATGTAGCTGTAACGAGCATGTAACAATATGATTTACAGTTGTCACATTGTGGAAGAGCATTCGCTTTGCAAAAGTGAGTTTTTAAGTTTAGCACTCATTACGTCCTCTGTGTTAACTAAACTTGTTTCTCTGCCTAACGTTGCGTTGTTTTCAATGTTGAAACTAGTGCCAGCATACACAATTGAAGCTTGCCTGTGTCTGGTGACTTTTGGTATCAAAGTAGCTGATTGACACTACTTTAAAAACTAAAACAAGCCCTGTATTGATACGTGTGCCTCATTACCAGTCTTTTTTTTTTATTCATATATTTGCCGTACATATAACATTTACAAGTTTCGTAAATTAATATTTACAAGTCTCGTGAGTCAAAATATATATAGTGAAATTTATAATTAAATAGTACAGGCCGGACTTCAAGAAGATCGTAATGATCTTATCACGAAGCCCTTACAATGTGTTTGACATATTAATATGGTTATGTTAAATATAATTATATATTAAGTACAACTATGTTTATATATTCTTTAAATTTAGCTCATAATAAAAAATAAACTCAAAATAAGCTCAGTATAAAATATTAGACATAACTAGCAGCATAATAACTAAACTTGATAAGAAAAAATCAAGTTTTTTTTTGTGTGTAATAAACACATTTTGATATATTGTTTGAGAAATTTGAGAGAAAAAAAAAAAAGATTCATTTAGATAATACACATAAACGAGTCAGTTCACTTTGTAGTTGATATATATGTATTTTAATTTATAGTCTTAGAAGAATTCTGAGTATCTGTTTAGTATCTTTTGAAGATAAGAAAACTTTAGTTGCAATTATATCATTCTTTTTCCTTCTGTGTTTTTAACTTTCTTTACCTATTTTTTCTGGCATGGTTTGCTCTCTCTTATAGCCTTATTTTTATTAAAATTATTTAATTTTCTATTATGTGTTGTTTTACTCTGAGCTACTCAGTTTTCATCAATGTTATTTGTTTTTATTTCTTTGCGTATGTACAATTATATCATAAATTTGTTTTAGTCAATTATTCCAGTTTTGTTTTAGTCTGACATCGATGCTGACAATGCTTTACTTTGTTCTTTTTTTTTCTTCAGCTTTCATATAACAAGTTTTTAACTTGTTTTGTTTTTTATTTTTTTTTTATTTGAGTTTTTATGCTATATTTTTCTATACAATGTTTTTATATCCGAAGATATTGTTGGCTTAGCATAGGAACAGCCACAAATAGTCATTAAGACTAATCCAAAGTAGCGTTTGGTTATTGACCAACATTTTTGCGTACCGAAGTACTGAAGCGCTGAGTTGGCGGTGGCGGGATTTTAACTTGTATCGTTCAACAGTCCGGGTTTTAACTTTTCCTTTAACGCTCTAACCATCTGAGCTATCCCGCCATATCTGAGCTACCCCGCCATTTTAGAAACGGTTGGAATACCAACCATTTCCCAAACTAATTGTTTGCTTTTGGACTTTTTTAAGCCGCGCAACGCAATTTTTGGGTCAAAATTAACTTTACACAATTTTTAAAATTTCATTATTTTTATTTTTAGTAAAATAAAAATGTAAATAAACAGTTATAGATATTAATTATGGTATTACTTCATGAGTATAACATTAATAAAAGTTAAGTTGATAACGATCTGTTAAAAACAAGTAAAACTATATAAAAATTCCGCTAAAAAAAAATGAAATAGAATTTGAAAAAAAATTTTTTACTAACCTTTAAATGACTTTTCGAATCTAATGGCTTGGCATTTTACTTTTCACTTTCACTTCACAAAATTATTATTTTAATAATTTAAATAATATTTTGCAATTTTTCTTAATTGAAAATTTTTCAATTTTCAATAGGAGGAGAGAACTCCTTTATTTCTTTGTTCCTTGGTCATTATTCTAACTTTAAACTAAAATGATGTTTAAAATAAAAATGTCAAGGTATTATTACAAATTAATCCAATTACTGTACAAGCAGTCAAAATATATTTTTAATGATTATAAATATTAATTTAAAAAACTGAATGACATAAAAACATATTATTTTTATTGTTAAAACAGAGTTAAACTTGTACTGTTACTTCCTTTCATCAAAAAAAATGTTTTATGTAATCAGTAACCATTCTTTAGCGCACTGTTGTGATCACAACAGAACCCATATCTAAAAGACGGACAAAGAATCCAAAACAAGAGAAGCATTAACTTGTCTTCACCTTTCAATCTCAGTTACAAGTTGATTCATGGTGACCTAAAATTATAACCTCGGAAACCATTTTTCCTTTTCTAATAAAGTCTGATACCTCAATAAACGTTAATTCGTCACGTTTCCGGGCTCAACAGAGCAGTGACGGATCTAGGGGGATAGGGTATGTCCATCTGCATCCGTCACATAGTTTTATCCCAGGCGTGTACAATGCAGCAAACATAATTTCTTTCGCCAACATAGATAAATAAAAACTTAACTTTCATAAAAAAAAAATTCAAAACAAAGAATTAAAATGAAAGAAACATAATAAAATAAATAATTAAATAAATAGTTAAATGATAAAATTAAATAAACATATTTTTAGCAATATTACAGTGTAATATATCCAAATGAATAAATACAAATGCAAAAGGTTTTTGATGCAATTTTGTTCAACTGGTTTTAAATTTACAAACCTTTAAAATTCATAAATTCAAAAAGTTTATAAATGTAAAACAAGTAAAGATAAACTACATCAAAAACCTTTTTTATTTCTATTCTTTTTAGGATACATTACACTTTTGTGTATATATTTATTTATTTTTGTGTGTGTATATATATATATATATATATATATATATATATATATATATATATATATATATATATATATATATACATATATATATATATATATATATGTATATATATATATATATATATATATATATATATATATATATATATATATATATATATATATATACACATATATACATTAACAAATAGCACTCCCTTGCGAGTCAGGCTATTTGTCAGTCGATGTAGCAGCACTCCGTTGCGAGTCAGGCTATAAGATAGTCGATGTAGCAACACACCCTTGTAGCAGCAGGCTATAAGATAGTCGATGTAGCAACACTTACGCATGTTTTAAAAATGTTTTTTAATAAAACAAAAACAAAAACACCACTAATTAAAAAAAAACTTATTAGTCATTATTATTGCGGATTTTTTAAAAAAGAATAAAATTTAGTGTACTTCCGCATTAATTTAATTGCTTTGACATTTTGATGATAATCAAATACAGCTTAAGAGATGAGGTTATAAAAATTTTAGTCAAAAGAGACTTTTTTTTTTACCATAAAAGTCTCCTTCGACTACACTATAAGGATATATATATATATATATATATATATATATATATATATATATAATATATATATATATATATATATATATATATATATATTATATATATATATATATATATATAAATATATATATATAAATATATATATATATATATATATATATATATATATATATATATATATATATAATATATATATATATATATATATATAACTTATTTTTGTGTATATATATATATTTATTTTTGTGTAAATTTATATTTATTTATTTTTGTGTATATGTATATATTTTTTTTCTTTCTTTCTTTTATTTTTCTTTTGTTTTTTTTTTTGTTTTTTTTTTTTGTTTTTTTTTTTGTTTTTTTTTTGTTTTTTTTGGTTTGACACTTTTATTTAAAGGGACTGAGAGGTAAGACTGAATTTGCCTTTTTCTTGCCCCAGCCATGTATTTATATATTTGTATTTGCTTAATCTCGTAAACTTTTTTTATCGTCGGAATTTACCATTTACATTTATCGTTGAAATTTCCCACTTACATTTATCATCGAAATTTACCATTTACATTTACATTAAACCCGAAAAGTATAATGTATAAAAAAATTGTGAAAAGAGTACTTTTTTTAATTCAATCGGTGGGTAATCTTGGCAAAAAAAATTATTTATGTAGGAGTTATGGTTGTGTTAGTAAATAAAAAACGTTTTAAATAATTAAAAAAGTGCCACTGCACTTTTATTTTTTATTATTAAAATTTTGGAGAAAAAATTTGATTCCTTGGTGGCCTCTTTAAATGCCCTCGCCTTGCAGCGGCTGCCTAGGCTGAACATGTGTAAAGACGGGCCTAAATGTAACAAGTTTTTTAACAACTGTGGTTCATAATAACGATGTAATAAGTTTTAAATAATTCCGTAATTATAAACGTAGTTTTTGCAAATTTAATCGTTTACAAAAACTACGTTTTTACATCGCTAAAGTAGCAATTTTTGTGCTTAAATTTTATTTTTTTTTGTACATTATAATGCTTTAAAGCAAGATTGGTATTATAGGTTTTTCTAGCGAAACAACAGGGACATTTCTCATTGAGTTTTATATGGCTTTCTGAGTAGATAACATTTATATGACTTTCTGAGTAGATAACATTTATATGACTTTCTGAACAGTTCCGTGGCATTTAGAGTATTTGATTAAAAAACAATAATTTGGGTGGCATATATTTTTCTATCACTTTAAGGTTGTTTATCTTATAATTAAATCTTATAACTTATAATTAAACTTTTAAAGTTTTTCAGAAACAAACTTTTTGGCTACACGCTCTACTTTACAAGAAAAATACCTCAAAATAGCGTGCTTTTATAAACAAAGTCACTCCTAAAAAAACTATAAGCGACCGGTGTTAAAGTTGCAGCCGTGGCGCAATGGTAACGCTTGCTTCAGAAACAAAGGATCCGCGACTTAAAACCCACCAATGGACAAAATTTGCGACATTGGTTAGGAAGGAGGCGTAAACTTCCAATTTTTTTTTTTAATTTTATTTAGGTGCTCCAAGAAGCCTTTTACTTATCACAGAGCTCCACGGATGAGTATTTAATCGGAAATTTACGCTTCCTTCCCAACTGATGTCGCAAAACTTGCTCGTATTATTTCATATAGGATCAAATGCTTGTTATAAGCTATCAAAAAGCGATGACTCTATTAATAGGTCGGGACCTATAATTTACTATTATAGGTACCTAGCTATGAATTAAATTAATATATATGTATATATACATATATACATATATATATATATATATATATATATATATATATATATATATATATATATATATATATATATATATATATATATATATATATAAATATATATATATATATATATATATATATTATACATATATATATGTATATATATATATATTATATATATATATATATATATATATATATATATATATATATATATATATATATATATATATGTATAATATATATATAATATATATACATATATATATATATATATATATATATATATTATATATATATATATATATATATATATATATATATATATATATACATATATATATATATATATATATATATATATATATATATATATATATATATATATATATATATATATATATATATATATATATATATATATATATAGACATATATATATATATATATATATATATATATATATATATATATATATATATATATATATATATATATATATATATATATATTTGTGTGTGTGTGTTTGTGTGCGTGTGCGCAGTTATTAGAGTAAATGGAGAATCCGTCAAGGTCCCTGCTATAAGTGTGGGCTGATATGGTGGTATGTGTCGGCAAGGATCTTTTTGAGAATATTAATGCAGATCTTTTCTTAACTACATGACAGTGCTCCAGTTCTTAATTCTCAATTTTTTCAATTAAGCAAATTTGCGTAAATGAGCAAGTTTCAGCTGATGACAATTTCAACTTAGTATTATTGAATGAAGGAAATGTGATAGATTATGGATGTCGTAGCAGCTGTTATTAGATACATTACTTTACAGCTTGAGCTATTGAGTTTCATTTAATTGGTCTCAGAGTGTGACCCTTCCAACGAATGTTTTGTTTGAGACTCAGATGGGCTAGTTGTGATGATGATAACAATGCGTTCAAATGCGGACGTATTGGTAATTGTCAAACAAGCATCATGCAAAGTAAAAAGAATTGGGTTTCATTGATTAGTGAAGTTACTGTTAAAGGAATCAGATTTGAGTAAAATTAGAAAAAAAGCATCTGATCCTGATAATCCTGTCTTAGGTTTTCTAATTTTGCTGAAAATGTTAATAATTTGGGGGTAGTTAGCAGCTGGGAGGTTGATGAAGAGCGAGAATTTAGGCAGTTTTTTACTGTACTTTTACCGACACTGCATCAGAAAATAATTGTTCAATTACTTCGCTAATATTTCAAAAGTATTAAAAGTAATTTATTTATTTTTCTTTCTGATTTAATGCTAAAAATTAGTTTCTCTGGAAGAGAAGCGTCTGTTATAGATACGTTTTCCTTTTGGTGATTAGTTACTGGCTAAATTTGAAAGTACTTTCTATTAGTGTAGTGACTAGATATGAAGGTTGCTAACATTCTTTTATAAAGCTCTGTATAAACAGCATCATCCATAGCTTGGGGTTGACAAGCGTTGTTCTTAGTTTGTGGGAAAAGCAGGGAGTATGAAAAAAAATTAGTTTGTTGCAGGCAACTTGCATTTCATATGCCATATATATTCATATGCCTGGCATATGAACATATATGGCATACAGTATAAAGTTCACTGCTATTCTCACCTACCTGTTAACAAGTGGGTGAGAATGGCAAATAAAGTCAGTTGGGGGGAACAAATTAAATCTTTTGTGCTTATTATCTTGATTTTGTAAGTTATTTATGGTTTGATGAGTTATATAAGTTGATATGGATACAGGTGCTTATTAATAGCAAGAATGAATATCTTTAAAGCGGCTATTTTGAGTACACACAAGCCATAGTTCAATTTTTTGTTTAGATTATTAGTTAGACTGATAGTGGATTTTTTATTTATTGCATCATCTGTTTGACTATAAAACAAAAAAAATTAAACATATAAGTAATATTATTCATAGTAAATAAGGTACAGCTTTTCTCAATATATAACATTCAATTGTTCAAAAATCTTATTTGCCCTGGTATCTTTTCTACATTGCACAAGTATCCTGATAAAAATGGTATTCATACTCTTTAGTCACATCACTCTAATTTGTTCTGATAATTCTGATTGTGAATGCAGGTAATGTAGCTTTGTTGACATTCTGCATTTCATATCTGCATAGTATGCAGATATTTCATATCTGCAGATATTTCAAATACTGTGCAATTTAAACTGCATAGTATGTAGATATTTCATACTTGCTTACTGTGTAATTTAATTTCCTTCTAGCTTTTTGTAGTTTTCACTCTTATTGTTGCCTAAAAACTATGAATTACATGCCTATTGCCAATCCATGCTGCTTATTCAACAGCAGACATTTTGTTGTCCAATTCCTTACAAGCTGACATAATTTAAATCTGTGAACCAACAAATATATCTGTAAATGAAAAAAATAAAATTGCTGGAATGCTGCACTAGTTGACTTGAATGGTATAACAAATTGTTTGATAAGACCTAATTTAATGTAAAAACATGGTAGTAAAATTTTTTCAACAGGTATACAGGATTGATTAATGTGTGAACCAGGATGTAAATGTTTTCTCACTGGCCTTTCAGGTCTTTTGAAGTGCTGGTCCACAGCCCTGCTAGAAACAACAATATCCCATAAACAAAGAAAACATGAGTACTTTATGTGTCCTCCTTGTAGAAATATTATCATCTTAAAGTTTCTACAAGCAAAAACTTCATGTTCTTGTAGTCTTCCTTTAGATAAACATAATAAGTTACTGGAATCAAAAGAAATTGTTTTTTGTTATGAAGCATAACTGCTTTTAGACTTTATGTTGAGCTGTCAAATAATAACATCCACTCTTCAGAATTGTAAACAATGTCAATGTCATTGAAAGGACCATGAATATCATGACATTAGCACAGCGATACTACGGATGAACATCTTTTTTTGTATTTTGAGGTTCTTCAACTTGAATCTAATAAATTCCATTCTTTCAAGCCTGATGTCAGAAGTTCTCTAAATTTATTGATTCCCTGAAATCACAGTCATCACTGAGTTCAGATTATCCTTTGGCATTATATATACTTTGAAATTTAAGCCATGCAAAAATAACAGTCATCATGATGGTTCTTTGGTTCTCTCCATATTAATGGAGTCTCAAAAAACTTTCAGATTCAATAAAGTCATGCTTAAAATGCATTACACACAGAAAAAGTATATATATGCTTTATGCTTTTTTTCGGTGAGCAATTTGCTTATCTTTAGGTCTTAGCCACAATTCAGTTAGTCATTATCAATGTCTGTATTTGTAAAATATTGATTGAAAATCTCGATTTTGTGAAATTTTATGTTAGACAGATATATCATAGGTTTTTAAGACACTACTCTGTACTGTGCTTCCACATTTAGTATCAGTTTCTAAATGTTGTCAAACTCTTTTTCAATTTTTTGAGAAATTTTAGTTCCTCAGTTGAAAAATATTGTCTACCAACAATGTATTTACCATCGTGTGTCACATGACAGTAAATTATACTTCTCAAAAGTTTTTAAACTTTTTCTTATAATAAAGTTTAAAAGTTGATAATGTCAAAAAAAAAGCTAATTTTCAGCTATATACCACTAAATTTACCATGGTTACAACAAAGTCATTTACATACAAACCATTTGCTTATTTACCTTTTTATTTCCCTCTAAAAATAAATTTTATTTTTAGCTGTCAAAAGTAATCCGAACCCTGTTGTGATTGCACTACTGGCAAGACTTGGAGTAAACTTTGACTGTGCCAGTAAATGTGAAATTGAAACTGTTCTTGATTTGGGCGTTAATCCTGATAGAATTATTTTTGCTAATCCATGTAAACAAGAGTCACATGTCAAGTAATTTTTACTTTTTATTGTTTAGTTTATAATTTTATTTCATTTTATTGTAAATTAGTCACAATACACTTTGTATTGTTGTAAAGTTTGTATTGATTTACACTTTTTATTCACAGGCTTACAAAAAAAAAAAAATTTCTTGTGCCGAGCAAACAGTTTTTTTTTATAGTATTTCTCATTTTGATTTCAAATATGTAACTCATTTTTTTACCATCACGTCAAGTTGTAAAGATATTTGAGTTCAAATCATTAGTATTTGGGGTAAAGTCCCTAATATTGTCGAATAAAAATTTATTCAAAAGTATGTCAACCTGGGTCTCAAAAGAAGCATATTTTCATAAAGATTTTGGAAAACATAAATATTTTTTCTTAAAACTCATTAAGAAGTAGGACTAGGGTTTCCAATTATGTTACATTAATGATTATCCGGAAATAGAATACTGATAATGCAAATTATTCAGGTATATCTGAATACTCAAAAAACAAATAAGAAAATAAAAATTTCTAGCCAACTCTTTTATTGCAGTTTCTAGCGGTATAAAAAATCTAATAGTTCTTTTAAAGTTTTATTTATAGGATCCTTTATTTGAAGGAATCGCTTAAGCATGACTATTATTTATTTCCACTGAGTTTTGACTAACATCAACTGCAATGTCTTGCGCGCTTCATTAAAATTCATTAAAATATCCTTGTAAAATGTTGTTTTTAACTGAAGAGAATAATATCATTTTTATAATTTGAAAAATATATATTGATTTTCTATATGCTATACTGTACAGAGAAATATTTGATGAATCCTATTTCTCATGTAAAAAAAACTAAATATAAGTTGTAAGGATAAAATCTTTCATTTAAAACACTCACAAAAAATTTATTTTTATAAAAATAACTACATGGACAAGACAAATTTGCAACTTCCATATGTGACTTCAAATTTGCAACTTCTGTATGTGAAACTTGAACTGCATTTGAGTGATTGTTGTGACTCAGCGATATAAAGTGCAATCACATGGCTTTCTAAAAATCTTTACTAATAAATGAAATTAAAAAAAAAGTATACTGTTAAAATTTGTATTTCAAACTAAAATGTTATTAAGATTTTTTAAAAAAAATTTAATTATTGCATGCATTGTGGACATTTAAAATTATGTTATTCAATATTAATTTGTTTGAGTTTTAATATTGACCAATTGTGTAAATTTGAATACTGCAAAACTATTATACTTGAAACAAAAATGTTGAAACAAAAGCAACTAATCATGTTCAATTAGTTTTATTCTTTTACAAAAGAATAAAACTAAAGTACACTGTGTTATGAAAGGTTTTAGGTGACAATTTACATGGTTCATCTACTCTAAACTTGGAAGTAAAGATTAAAAGATTCTACATAAATTTTCTCAGAAATAGAAACCAGCTTTTATAATGAAATTAAATTTATATAAAGGATCAAATTTCAAACTTCTAGTTTATGAAGTGTTTGCTTTACTATTGGATTGTTATTGCATAATTCTTGCAAAATACTTGCATGATTTACCAGACCTACTTGTTTTTGCAAGATTAATTAAGATTTGGTTGTTTGTTTTTTTTCGCATCTCAGTGTTAATAGCTTTTTTTTATTTTTTTATTTTTTTATATTATTTACCTCCCCAAGAACAAGAGGCGCTACAGTTAAGGAGACTACTTTTAATGTGGCTGCAGCTGAGTTATTAACAGTATTAACAGTAAGGTGCTATTGTGTATAAAGAGGTGAGACAAGAGTCATTGCTCTTAACATAAACAAACCTTTTAATAAAGTCTGTCAAGCTAAAGTCTTCTCTCATGCTCTTATTATTTAAGGTATCTAGAAAAGGTGCTACAGCCTGCAAAGTTCAAAGGTTTTCAGGTCGGCACAAGAGTGCCTTACCTAGCCAATGTCATGTTGGCAACAAATTTATTTGGATTTTTTGCTTTCTGCTATGAAAGGAAAATTATTTGATTATAAAAGCATTGCTTTACAATCAAAGGCCATCTATTTTTAATTGTTTAGATTTTGAATGCAATCTTTGGATCTTGAATGCAATCTCTCTTTTGTGACAACTTGGAGCTTGCAATAAAATATTGGGCTCCAATAGGAACAAGTTGTAATTAGTTGCCCAACATTTTCAGTCATTGACTTAAATGAATATTTCAGGTTGTGTATCTAGACAAAGTCCTTGGGTCCCATGAAATAGTTTTTTACATTTTAGTCCATTTTTATGATATTTTTTTTAAAAAGTTTTTTTATATTTTTTTTATCATTTTATTCATTTGCGCTTTTTTTTTCAAATATAAAATTCTTAAAAATATATATATTTAGAGAAAATTTTGTTTTACCTAGCTTTAATTTTAATTGTAGTGTTTCATAAAATGATTGTCTTTCAAGTATTCTGTTTAAACAGCTGTGCACGAGAGTTAACAACATTATTGTTATCCAGAGCAATAACTAGGCGAATTTAGGTAGCCCAATCGCAAATGTAGGGTCCCTTTTCCAAATGTAAGGTCTTAGGGGGCCTTGGACCTAGTAGTTACGGCACTGTTGCTGACTAATTAACATCTGCAGTTTTTAAAATGATTTTAATGAGCATAGAAAAAAGATGCGCAATTATTTTTCTTAACGTTGTTAATTTTATATATTGAAATTCTTTTTTTGTTATTATTTAAAATTGTTGTACAAAGAGTTTTGTTATTATTTGAAATTGCAATACAAAGATTTAAAAAAAGATAAACAAAGTAAAAAATACAGTTGAAAAAAAACGTTCTTAGTTAAATACAAAAATTATTATATATTATTATTATTAATAAAATGATGTTAAATGTTTCTATTAAAATAATAATAAAATAAGAATTTCAATCATTTATGAAAAAATAATTTTTACCACCTGTAAAATAAAAGCAATCTAAATAAATGAAGCAAAAAAATTTAAAAAGCTGGTGGTACTCTGAGTGATTTTTCATAACATTCATGAAAGTTATCAATTTGAAAATAAATTTTCTGCAAGACCAAGAACAACTTTAAAAAATTAAATTTTATTAATACTTATTTGAATCATTTAAATAAGAAAATCTTTGGTTTTTCAAAGTTTTTCTTACACTTCTTACATTTATGCATATTGCCTTATCTTCATTAGGCTGAGTTTTTAAAATGCTGCAAAGTATTTCTATTTAAATCTTTTAAAATATTTTTATATGTGAATTTACATATGTGATTGTTTGTCGCAGGAGGGAAAGGGTTAAGAATTGACAAATATAGGGTGAGGTTCTTTATGGATGGCCCCCTTAATTGCATTTACAAACAATTTGTTTTACTAAAACAAAAATAAAAAATGCTCCAACAGATTTTTTTTTTAATTAGGAGAATAGCAAATGTTTCTAAGTGCTCCAAAAACTCTTATTCCACTAGTTTTTTTCCTCGAACATCAGTTCTTTGGAATTTGCTTCCTTCATCTTGCTTTCCTGATTCATATAACTTGCACTCTTTTAAGTCATCTGTCAATCCTTATCTTGCTCTACAATCTTCATCTTTTCTCTTCCAGTAACTTCCAACTCTAATTAGTGGTTGCTTGCAGCCTTGTTGAAAGCGAAGATGTTTAAAAAAAAAAAAAAAAATTTCCATTTTTTCTAAATAAAAATATTTATATAATTCTTATATTTATTTATTTTATATATATTTATATGTCAGCCAAAATAAGAATACATAAACAAATAAAAAAAAACAATAATATAAATAATTTTAATTAACATTCAAAAAGAAAGAACAGATTTTTTTTTTTTTAAATTTATTTTAATATAAAATGTTTTAGTTAGAACCTTGTCAAACCAAGTTGGCGAAATGAGAATTATTTATTGATGTAATTCATTTTGTTGATGAAAAACTTACATTACACAAATTTAAAATAAAAATGTGCTTCAACTTAGCATGGTTATTCAAAACTTTAAATGTAAAAACGTAACATTTAAAATACTTATACAATATATTCTTTCACATATATTGTTAAAAAAATATTCTTTCGCATATATTGTTAAAAAACTTAAGTTTTTTAACTAAATTTTAGAAAAAACAAAACTTTATCATGTTTTTGTTAACATACTTTTGGAAAATTTTTTATATTAGATATGCTAATACTAAAAATGTGAGGAAAATGACATTCGACAGTGAAGGAGAACTGTATAAAGTAAAAGAAAATTTTCCTGGAGCAGAGCTTGTCTTAAGAATCAAGGTAGATGATTCCAAATCAACTTTTAAGGTAAAACAATTTAAATATTCTTTGAATTTTTTTTTTTTTCAAATTATAATTTTTAAAAATGGTTATAGAAATATATATTTAATGTTACAATGGTGTATTCTAATGCTAAGTTCATTGGTGACTGCTTTAGCGGCTAACATAGATTTTATAATGGATTTAAATGAAAATGAAAACTTTCCTTCTAACAATTGAATGTAACTGTGAAATACAAAATAGTAGCACATAATTGCAAATATTAACAATGCATAACAATTAGATTGTAGATGCCATGCTGCTGTCTCAGGATTTTATTTAATGCTTTTACAACGTGGCCATATATTATGTTCCGGCGAGTAATGCTATATATTTAAAGTATCTATGTGTGTGTATATATATACATATATATATATATATATATATATATATATATATATATATATATATATATATATATATATATATATATATATATATCAGGCCTTGTGATGAATAAAAACTGTGCAACGCATAAGCACGACGTGATTTTTGACGTCATTAAATTCTTTTTATTTGATTTTCATATTTATTGACATTAACTGCACCAATTTACTTAATTACCGCAAAACTACTTTTTAAACTAATCATTAATGTAGAAATGTTATTATTTAAAAATGTTTTGGAATATTTCGTTTTTATAATGTAAAAACATTTGTTTATGTTCTCGACCACTGACACGTTTTGTCTATACTAAACGAATAAAAAACATTATAACTAAACATTTAAAAAAGATTATAAAATATGCTAATATTTGATTTTTTTTTTTTTCTCAAATATGTAATTTACTAAACTAATAAAAAACATTATAATTAAACATTTAACAAAGATTATAAAATATGCTAATATTTTAATTTTTTTTTTTTCTCAAATATGTAAGTTTTTCTCAATATTTATTTTTTCTTAAACATTTTTTTTAAACATTTAAAAAAGATTATAAAATATGCTAATATTTGATTTTTTTTTTCTCAAATATGTAAGTTTTTTAAATATTTATTTTTTCTTTTTTAAAAGTCAGCTAGTAATAAACTGGAAATTTTAATTTTGTACGATTAAAAACTGTGCAATAGCTAATATTTTTACTAGCGATTTTATATAATATTTTTTTATTTATTTATTTTTATTTATTTTCATAAAGCAGATTTGATAAGTACAATCACTCGTATTACTAAAAAACTTTAACGAACATTTTGAATAGATTTTTAATGTTTACAAGGAATTTTATTTTTGGTAAAATAAAATAAAATGTTAGAATAAAAATCTTATAGGTATAAAAGACATATTTTAGCGAAAAAATTATTCTTAAAAAATATTATAAAAATTATTCGAAAAACTATTGACGTTCTATTTTTCAGCAGCTGTTCTTGAGCACGCTTTGTTGAGTTTCGGTAACTTTTAACAAAAAAGCGATTGTTATTATTTAAGTAATTTTTTTCGAGTTACTTTTTACGAAAATTTTAATAGCTGTACTTTTTTATTGAATCAAGTAGAATCCTTGAGGTCGCGATTGCGTCACAAAACAAGTTACCATCTTTGTAGGGGGAAAACATTGAACAAAACGCGTGATTAGCGCGTTTTGTTCATTGTTTTAATTTTAAAGCCGGATTAAGGCATTAAACAAAACGCGCTAATAACGCATTTTGTTCAATGTTTTCCCCCTACAAAGGTGGTAACTCGTTTTGTGGCGTGATCACGACCTCAAGGATACGTTTTAATATTAATACTTTTATTTATTTTTATTTGCGCTTACCAATTTTTAAAATGTTTACTCGAAGTTTCTCTTAAATACTTTAAATACGTCTAACAATTAATAAATATTTTTAAATCTATGGAATAATTTTAAAACCTAACAAACCCCCGTAAAATAATTATTTAAGTTAAAAATCTAAAACTATAAGAAAGTATTTTTGTTCAATTTTATCGACAACTTTGCTATTGCTGAATAATTTTATTAAAATGTTAGCTTAAAAAGATTTGAACTTTTTTTTTAATCTGAATTTTTTTCTACTTGTAAATATTGAGCATATTAATTTTTTTGTAGTTCAAACTTTTATATCAACTGCGTGCGGTTTTTAAAATACTTTATTAAATGTTAAAATAATCAAAAATTACTTTATTAAAATTCCGCTCAAAAATATCTTTAAATATACTCAAACAAAAATTTTTTGCTCAACGCAAATAGCCCTAGTTACACGCAAAATCGCTCTTGGACAAGGTAAAATTCACATTGCCCGACGCTTTATCGCAAGGCCTGATATATATATATATATATATATATATATATATATATATATATATATATATATATATATATATATACAAAATATATATATATGTGTGTATATATATATATATATATATATATATATATATATATATATATATATATATATATATATATATATATATACAAATATAATAACAAATATATATATATATATATATATATATATATATATTATATATATATATATATATATATATATACAAAAAATATATATATATGTGTATGTATATATATATATATATATATATATATATATATATATATATATATACAAATATAATAACAAATATAAAATAAAAAATATATATATGTACAAAATTGATACAAGTCGAAGAAAAAAATAAATTAGAAGATTTTTTTACAGCGAAAGAATCATTAAAGTATAGAACTCACTTCCTGACTACATAGTGAACTCGCCTTCACTGTCAGCTGTCAGCTCGCCTTCACTGTCAGCATTCAAATCGAATTTTAAAAAGTATGATTTAAATTGTCACGCTAACTTGGTTTTTTCACATTAATTCATAGTGAATTTTCTTTTTTCTTTTTTTTTTGTTTTGTTTTTTTGGCGCTACATATGAGTAATTTAGTAATTACCTGTCTCACCATTTGGTATTTTGTGCATTTTCCAAATACAAATAAATAAATAATAATAATATATATTTGAATTTTGTTTAAATGAAAAAAAACATTATTAATAGTACTTAAATTTTTGTATCATACACGGCAATCATCAGCTATTAACTACATAAAAAAAAACCATTAGAAAAAAACATTTAAAAATAAACTCTTTGACAAATGAATTAAAAAGTACGGTAAAACATCTTCTAATGTAATAAAAGATGTTTAATCTCCAGTATTAAAAGAGGACATTAAATTTATATTATTATTTTATTATCCGGTATTAAATTTCAGTAGAAATTTGTTGAAACGTCAAAACACAGATAATATTTTGTCTTTTTTATTGAGCAGGTTGTTTTCTTTGTGATATAAAATTATAAATTTCTCATGAAGGCAAAGGTTACAAATTTTTGATGTGAAAAAATGTACCGTATCAAGACTATATTCTAAATATCGTTTTACGGGGAAGTTGGCAGCAGATAACAAAGGTTGAAGACTGCGTTCCACCACTTCTAGAGAGGATTCTATGATCGTCAGATCCATCAAGAAGGATCCGTGGATATCATCAGTCGAGATACAAAAACAATTAGAGCTTCCTGTATCAGACCGAACAATCCGACGACGTACTGTTGAAACCGGATTGTTTTCTCGACGCTCTGCAAAGAAACCGCTGATATCACTAAAGAATCAGAAAATAAAACTCCTGTTTGCTACATCTTATATTGACTGGAAATAGTGTGCAGAAATAGCAAACTTTCTTGTTCAGTGATGAATCAAAGTTCAAATCATTGGGAGTGATGGCATTTGTTGTGTATGCCGACTGGCCAGAAAGCGCCTCAATTTACGTTACTGCCATAAGAAGGTGAAGCATGGTGGAGGCAATGTAATGGTCTGGAGGCGTTTTTCTGCTAACGGTCTAGGTCCAATACATTGAATCGATGGAATAATGGACCATTTCATGTATAAAAAAATCCTGAAAGAAGTTATGTTACCTCATGCTGAATGAAATATGCCAATAAAATGGGTTTTTCAGCAAGACCACGATCCGAAACACACTGCAAAAGTATTCAAGCAGAGGTTTTAAGACAACCACCTATCGGTGATGGATTGGCCGCCTCAATCTCTGGATCTCAACCCTATCGAGAACCTGTGGGAGATTGTCAACCGCAGAATTAATTGTGAAGGTGTTCGTAATAAGGATCCACTGTTTGAACAAATCCAAAAGGCCTGGGCATCGATTCCACAAAGTTTCATTGATCACCTGATCGAATCTATGCCTCGAAGATGCAAGGCTCTGATCAACAACAAAGAATTCGGCACGAAATATTGATAGCGAAATACAGCTTGGTCAACATTTTGTGGAGTTGCACTTGTTTTTTCCGTAAGGAAATCAACTTTTTTTAATACTTTTGAATAATTTATTAATTTTCATGTACAAATAATTAACTTTGTGATAAATAAAACTTGACGAACGTTGTCTCTAAACAGTTACATGGTTATTTCTCTAAATTGAAAAAATGCAGCACTTTTATATAAAGAAACTAAATTAGCATTATTTGGTTGCACTTGTTGTTAGCATTATTTATGGCACTCGCAAAAGTATAATTTTTCTCATAAAAGTATAATTATCATTTTAAATAAAATAAAACACACAATGTCATTTAAAAAATATTAACTGCATAATATACTGAAATGCTTTTTAAAAGGCACAGTTGTTGCAAAAAAAAATTAAAATTAAAAAATAGCACCGATTTAAATGAGATGCAGCTCGCACAACTCCCCAAGTTCGTTTTAGGAGAGCTTTTCTTTGCTCTCGTACTCATTTATTCCCGCCAAGGCCTGATACTGTATATAATTATATTGATAATAAAATAAAGTTTTTCAACTCAGAGTTTTATGTGTTTCCATAATCATCTGGCAAGTAGTAAGATATATTATTTTTGCTACAAATAGTTTTATTGAGATTTGGAACATAAATTGTTAGTAGTTTCATGTGTTTCCATAATCATCTGGCAAGTAGTAAGATATATTATTTTTGCTACAAACAGTTTTATTGAGATTTGAAACATAAATTGTTAGTAGTTAATAAGTTAGAGAAACAAAAATTTTAATTTAGGTGATTTAAATTTAATTACACTAATTTATTATCAACATTCTAAATTAAACAATTTAAATTTAGAATTATCATTATATTTACATTTAAATCCCAAACATAACTAGATAGGGCAGTGGCTTTTTGGTATATTTTGTATTTGAAAATATAAATTTGCAGTTGTTGTACCTTGTTTTCCACTCACCTTCTGTTAGTCTGATGTAACTTTTTTTAGGCTTGTTTTTAGCAGTGAAATCGCATTTATGTATGGCAATTGTTTATCTACTTTTTCCATTCATGCCCTATGAATGGAAAATGTTTCTGTTTTATTCTATTTTATTTATACAATTTCATTTTTGTTGTTGTGTGTGTGTGTATATATATATATATACATATATATATATATATATATATATATATATATATATATATATATATATATATATATATGTATATATATATATATATATATATATATATATATATATATATATATATATATATATATATATATATATATATATATATATATATATATAAGATTAGTTACTAATCTATAATTAAAAGAGTTATTTGACCACGACCCGTACAGACCCTGGTCAAAAGCTTTGAATGCTACATACAGCAACTGATTTATCTAACCAAGTGGTAATGGTAGAGTAGTAAAGCTTCTGCTTTGTAAGCTATAAGTCAGATTTTAAATCCCACCAAATTCTGGAAGTATTGTGCTTTACTTTTTTTTACTTACCAGTGGCTTTGTTTATCTATATTCTTGTTTTGGAGTTACAGGATTAGAATGAACAAAAGCAAAAACCAGTTTTTCAAAATTAGCGCATTTAAACAAACATTAGTTCTTAAAGTACCATAAAAATCTAAAAATCACTTTTTAGACTTGTTATATTTTATTAAACCAAGGTTGATCAAAAATTTTATTTTTTAATCATCAAAAGTTTTTAGGTTTTTAGTTGCTTATTTTAATTCAAACAATTTACAAGTAGCAAAAAATATTAGGATTTCATAGTAATATTTTTTATATTTAACATGTTTAAATTGCTGTTTTTTAAAATTAAAATAATATGTGCTTATCTGTTTAAAATTGCTTAGAAATTTATTATATCACATTAACTTTGTAATTTACCATAAACTCTCAAAATTTTTGTAAAAAGCTGTTTTTTGAAAATATAAAATAAAAATTTCTTTAGTTCTTAAAAGTTTTGCTTTAAATGATTATTTAGTTTTACATTTTTTACTTTAGCTTGGACGTAAGTTTGGTGCAAGTCTTGAAACTACACAGAAATTGTTGCAACTTGCAAAAGATCTTGATTTAAATGTTATTGGTGTAAGGTAAATAAAAAAAATTGTTATTCAATTATTAAAGTTTTTCAAGGCTGTGGAATATTTGTAAAAATTAAAACAAAATTATTGTGTTTTTAAACATAATGAAAGTTTTTAATGCTGTAAAAATTATTGAGTCTTTAAACATAATGAAAGTTTTTGCTCTAGAAATCTTTAAATTAAACAAAGCATTTACTGCAAAAATGTGAGCTAATCAATTAACTTGACTGAAAGAGAAAAATATACCCTGATCATATCGTAAATATTGGTGTAGATAGAGGAGGTGGATTTTTAAATGTTTATTTAAGTATTCTTTTTTTGTGAAATAAATGAACCTAAGACTAAATCCTCATACAAGGAATGTTTAAAGTATGACATCTCTTCTTGTCATACTAAATGTTCAAGGACAGAAGAGTTGAGAAACTTATCATTATAGCTATTGTTCAAGATATCAATAAGAATCACCACGACATCAAGCAGGTGATAGATCTATTTGATTGATTGGAACAGAAAAGTGTTTCTTAGTATTTGATATAAAGCTTGCTAGTATTTATTTTGGCATTAAAGCAGCTTCATCTACTCATCCCTGCATTTGGTGTTAACTATCAAAGCATGACATGTAGGATTTCACAATCTGTGATCATACAAGGTAGTTGGGAATCAGTTTTTTAATTATTAAAATTATTTTTTTCTGTACAATTAAAAAGTCATGCTTGAGATTTTAATTCAGGATTTTTTTCAGGGCTTTCGGTATGATTAGAGAATAATGCAGAACAGTACAAAAGGGCTTGTGAAATAAGAAACAAGAGTAACAGAAAAAAGAGTAAACTCTTTGCTCCAGCCCTCAAGAATTGTATCTAAAATTCTTAGCTAGATCTGCCAGATGATAAACCTGTCTCATACATCCTATCTCATCCGAGTTGGATGTTGTACCTGATAAATTAAAAAAGCTTATATGAGCAATGACAGCGCTATATGTGAAGAAAACTTGTTTTGGTTTAATTTTGGACATATCTTACATGGATCACATCAATGTCTACAAAAAAACATGTATTTAATTGAAAGAAAATGTTCTATTATGCATGCTCAAAATATCGATGGCTGACAAATAAATTGGAGAATGTCTTGGTTTTTGGTCAGAGCAGGTTTCTGAAACTGTTCATTATGACTTCAATCGGTTCTATGAGCACAAAATTTTTTATGTTTAGTTAAGATATCTAGTATATCTTAAATAACATATTAAAATACAACAGTTATTGGAGGACTAAACTAAAGATCAAATATTCAGATAAGCAGTTGTTTTTTTTAAATAAAAATTGAACTCCATTACAAATAACTCATGCCATGACAAAGTTCAACTTTGCGAGACAAGAAACATGACCACCACCACTACCACCCCCTCACCTTACCATCTCCCAGCCCGAATTCTATTTTTTAATTACTTGCAAATCTATCAAATAAATGAAAGATTTTACACAGCAATCTAGAAGAATTGACATCTATACTGAGATCCAAAGAAGTTTATTTTATTTATCAAATGACAAAGCATGAGTTCTGATTGGATTATTGGTAGTAAACAGCTTTATTGCTTATGCAGGTTAAATATTAAGTCAATTTGGCAGATTGGTTGTTATCTTTATATAATATTATTATTATATAGTTATTATAATATTAAAGACAACAATATGCTGGAATTTGCATATAAAAATTGCCTATTTTCCAAGGCAAATCTGTTCAAGTTCATTTTATATTGCTATCTGGTCAGGCAAACATTCATTTGCCTCTAGGCCATGGTTTTCATTTTGAAAAACTGTTAGAGTTGGATTAAAAAAAGAAATGTATGCCTAAGTTGTTACTGTACTTAAAATAATTTGAAATAAAATTAAGAAAGTTCTTTTATTATGATTTATGAAATTATGAGAAAATTATGGGCACCTCAAAAAATTATTATCATTTTTGACCAGAGATGTGATAATAACTGGAAAGAGGTGGTTTTAAATTGACAAAAATATAGTGATTTATTTTTGTTTAAAGTACTTTTACATAAATTTTCAATTTAAAATTTAAGTTTTCATGTTGGAACTGGTTGCTATGATGCTGCTTTGTTCTACAATGCAGTGAAGTCCGCAGCAGATGTATTTCAACAAGGGGTATGTACATTTTAGTCTGCAAAATTTTTTTTTTCTTAAAGTTGATACATAAAATGTTTTTTTATTTTCGAAGTGTAAGAAATATTATATTTTTATGGTTTGAAAATATTTTTTAGCTTGTCTTATAATTTTGGTAATTTATTCAACAGTGAACCAAAAACAGTAGTAATAAGCAGGTTACAAGCATAACTAACCACTACAAAAAGGTTGTTTTATAAGAATAAAATTGTTGTCAACTTAATTCTAAAGCATTTGTGTTAAAGGAAAAAACTAGATAAAAGTTTTTTGAGCATAAAATAACAGTTCCATTAAAAGGGTAAAATGTTGCTGAATGACCAGTCATCCAAGAATGAATTTCATTTAATAGGGCAGTTAAGCTGTAAACTCCAAGCTGTCAAGAAGAGAGATCAGATTCAAAGTTGGCTGTTTGTGATCAAAAAGTGATGATTTTTTTGTCAAGACTGGATTATATAGTGATGCCATCAGCAAAGAGCTGGATTACATAGTGATGCCATCAGCAAAGAGCTGGATTACATAGTGATGCCATCAGCAAAGAGCTGCCTTAGAAGTAAGATTATCAGGAAAATTATAAAAATAGATCATAAATAATACAGGACAAAGGATAGAATTTATTTTTTGTTTATTCCCATTACTTTTTAGGTTAACTTGTGGTGATTGTTAGACACAGGGTGTCTAACAATCACCACAGGATTTTTAGGGTGTCTAAAAATTGCCACACTGTTACCACACTGTTGACTAACTTGTTTTTTGGGTATGACAAGATAAGTGTGGAAATTTGATTCTAGAAATAAAATAGAGGAAATAATCTTTACAAATATCTCTGTCTTATTTTTTATGGAGAGGTCAATCAGATCTATGTATGAGAGATTTTAGACTTTTTAATGACATTGTTAAAGATTTTTCAAAAATTTCTAGAATTTCTTAGTTTTTGAGAAAAATAATGAGATACAATAATCTAAAATATGATGACCTTAGTGACAGATATACCTTAGAGATAGACTACACCTTTTTTGCATCAATTTCTTGCAGTAATAAACAGGTATTTATTCTCTGGAGTAAACGTTTGTTCGTGTGAAAAAAATGTTTGGGATAATAAATAGCACCTGTACAATGAGAGTGAGGCTTGATTTAAAACCATGAGAGTGAGGCAAGATTTAGAACCAACAAGAAGAATTTAATGCTTCCATGCTTTGCCTGAATCCAGGAGATTATATAGTAGACAATTTTCATAAGATATTAGCAAAAAAATAAAAATCTCAAAATGAATTCAAGTCATAAATGCTTGTAAAAGATAGGTTGAAACAAAATAAATTCTAATCACAAATGTTTGTAAAAGATAGGATTAAATAATTTTGGTCGTAATTATTCTTCCTTTTTTTTTTATTAATATTATTAGGTTCTTTATTTAATTTTTATAGTAATTAGAGAACTTGACTCAATCATAGAGTCAGACACCCTAAGCAATAACCTAAAAAAGACCACCTTTTGTTGCCTTGCCTATGCGCCAAACCACTAACACCATATGCAACACAAACACTTTCCATTTGCAAAATGACACTGTTGGTGTCTCTAATATTTTACAGCTGTTTATGGAATCAGCCTCTCTGAAGGCTACCATGGAGTTTTGAAACTCTGTGGTAACCTTATATATAAACTATATATAATAACTTATATTAAACTATATATATATAATATATATATATATATATATATATATATATATATATATATATATATATATATATATACATATATATTTTGCTGACCTGATGGTCTAATAGAAAATGGTCGACAAACTATTGCCAACCTTATTTTTCTTAATTCTGAGGGCTGTGTGTATATACATATATATATATATATATATATATATATATATATATATATATATATATATATATATATATATATATATATATATATATATATATATATATACATATATGTATATATATATATATACATATATATATTTTCTTGATTCTGAGGGCTGTGTGTGTGTGTGTGTGTGTGTGTGTGTGTGTGTGTGTGTGTGTGTGTGTATATATATATATATATATATATATATATATATATATATATATATATATATATATATATGTATGTATATATTAATAAGAAAACATCAAATAATACGAATTCTCTTAATACAAATGATAATTTATTATTAGAAATTTTCGCTGGATTATGGTTACCAACATCATCAGCTCGTAAAAATTAATACAAAATTTTTTAACGTTAAAGACAGTTTAAAATTAACTGACGTCAGCAATTGAATGGCTTCTTTCTTGCTTACGTAAAAATGTAAAAAACGGAGTCAAAAATTTAGTTTTAACAAATTGCCCGTTATCTACATTAATGCCACCATTTAAAGGAGAACATTGATACCTCTGTATTTCAAGAGCTTCGCACACTTTTTGATCAAACTTTTTTGTTTCCACTTTAGTTGTTTTAACATCCTCCCACTTTATTTCTTGTGAGCAAAACTTATTATGGGTGGCTATTGCCGACTGATAATGTTTCCTCTAGTTTAAACTTTTTTGATGTTGTTGAATTCGAGTCCTAATTTGAAGTTTGGTTTCGCCTATGTATCTCTTTGAGCATTCACATTCAATTAGATAAGTTCCGGGTTGACTATTTTGTGGCAATTTAGTTTTGTTTTTTGATGTTAAAAGTGTTCTTAAATTAGGATTTGATTTGAAGACTACTTTATAGCCAACTTTCCGAAATATTTTCCTTAATTTTTGGGATAGTGATGGTATCCACGGTAATGATACAGTTGGGAGATTAAGAGGACCTGATTGAATTTTGTTGCTTTTTATGGACCGTTTATTTCCGATTAAGTTTGCAATGCGTGTAAGTTGACATATGTCGTATCCATTCTCTTTAAATATGTGAATTAGGAAATTAATTTCATCTTCTAAATATAAATCACTGCATATAGAGTAAACTCTGTGAATGTAACCTTTAAATATTGCGTTTAGAATTTTGGGGTCATGATTTGAGTGAGGTTTAATTTGAATATTTGTAATGGCGTCCTTTCTGTAAACCTTAAACTCGTATTTACCTTTGGTGTTATTTACTATGGTTAAATCGAGGAAGTTATTTACTATGGTTAAATCGAGGAAGTTTAGAGTTCTATTTTCACTTTCAATTTCGATTGTATATTGTATTGCAGGGTGTTGTTTGTTCAAGATAATTAGGAATTGTTCTGCTTCTTGAGCGTTAGAAAATCTAGCATGACTATCATCAACATATCAAAGATAGGATTTTAGGTCAAGAGGAGGATTTACTGCCATTGCAATTTTAAAAGTGTTTTCTTCATGATGTTGTAAAAAAGATTCTGCTAGTACGACCATGAATGAAAGACCTATAGGACCGGAATTCTCCAATTCATGGATCTCATTGTTCCACAAGAAATAACAACGGTGTAAACAAAGTTCTATAAGTTGTCTTGTTTCGGATATGGTAAGCTTGGTGGAATGTTTGTAGGAATCATCTTTATTTAATTGGTCTATAAGAATTAAAGTGGCTTCCTTTAGTTGAATTGATGGATAAGGTTTATTACATCAAATGAAACCTGAACTACGTTTTTTTCAATCTGCCATGAATTTGCTTTACTAATAAAATCAAACGAATTTTTCAGATATTGTCTTATTTTTGTTTAAAACAGGTTGTATTTTCTTGACTAAATAATTAGATATTCCATAATTAGGAGTGCCGATAGTTGATATAACTATTCTCATAGGATAGGATTTTTCAGGTTTGTGAGCTTTAATTAGAACATACATACGAGGTGGGATAGGTTTGCTCACAAGAAATAAAGTGGGAGGATGTTAAAACAATTAAAGTGGAAACAAAAAAGTTTGATCGAAAAGTGCGCTAAGCTCTTGAAATACAGAGGTATCAATGTTCTCCTTTAAATGGTGGCAGTTGATAGAATTTGATAAATTATCAACTAAAGCTTGATCCAGGTATCTTTGTGCTGAATGAGTGTGCTCTACTTTGAGCTGTGTGTGCTGGAGTCATGATTTTTAATTCAGATTTTTTTATACCTTTGGACTTAACAACCTGAAAATTTGATTCATTTCTCCTAATCACTTTAGTCCAAATGTTTCTTTGCATCATTTATGTCTTTTGCACTGATCCATATCTAAAGATATATTGCAAGTTGATCAATATACTTATTTGCAACCTACTTTTTATGAACTCTTTGTTTATGTTATGAAAAAGATTGGTTGAATATAGAGAATAGGAAAAAGTATTTTAAAGTTTTAAAAATGGTTACAAAGTTTTAGGAAAATAAATCGAAAAAAATAAAATCTGTATATTTTGTGCAAACTTTTTTTATTAACAATTTTATGTATAGAGGTTTATTTTAATAGAATATAAGTGTTTATGAAAATCAAGTTAATCAAGTATTTAGGATATGGATAATTTATTTATGAAATAAATAATAGGAAGATACAATTAAGCATATTCAATTATAGTTTAAAGAGATTGTTTTATAACACAGATCAAAGATGAATTTTTTAAGTGTACTGTTTATGAAACTCAGTTTTTTATAAGTATTCCTGGATGGTCTGCAATTAAAATTATTTTAAGTTCATAAAACATTTAACAGTCTAGGATGTTTTTTTATCATCAAACAAAATCACAAGTTTGATGAAGAATTTTATAAAAAATGAAAAAAATATTAGCCTCACAAAGAGAAACAATTTTATTTCACACAATGAAACAATTGTATTCTATACAATTAAACAATTGCATTCCACATAATTAAGCACAACCCTAGTTATAAAAATGCCAATTGTGCATCAAAACTAATTTTAAAAATTTACAATCAAATATTTGCTTGTGCAAACTTTGCAAAACTAACTCAGAATATGATTTATTAAAAGCATCATATGTGTCTTTTTGATGCATCAAATCATAATGGCACAAAAATATATCATAAGTTTTGACTATTTCTGCAGATAATACTTATACCACTTTTGGCAGTTTAAAACCAAAAGATAGTAACAATATTTACAAAAAGTTCATTAAGCTGAATTGAAAAATCATTAGCATCGGTTGTCCACATTTTATCAAATGCAATTAACACTGCAACTTATTTTTTGTGTCTTAGACAAAGATTAGTCTCTAATTTATATTTATTTCTTTTTTAAAAGTGTTATTTCTTTTTTAAAAGTGTTATATTTACAAAAAAATGTTTCATTTTTTTGTAAATATATAAATAACTATATTAAATAATATTTGTACCATATATTAAAAACAATAGAAAAAAAAAATTGTTTAAACATTGGAAAAAGTTAAATCTTTATGTAGGATCGAAAATAACTATATTGGGGTTCTGTTTGGTTAATTGCTTTTTGGTGTTAGGCTTTTAAGTGCAAACCCTCAATTTTGAAGGTTTGCACTTAAAAACCTAATGAGATATTTTTTAATCTTTTTTGTTTTAAGGACATTATTGGCTTTACTTTCACGTTGTTGGACATTGGTGGTGGATTTCCAGGATTTAAAGACGAAACTATTTCAATGGAAAATGTAAGAAATTAAATAAAAACTGTAAAATGTTTTTTATATCATTTTCTTTGTCTAGTTCTTGTATTTTAAGTCTTATGATTCTTGAAAACATTAAAAATAAAGAAATTTTAACTTGATTCAAGCATGCGAATTTAAACAGGTTTAATAATTTAATTATTATTTTATTTAATGTTGTTTGTTTTGTTTAGTTTTATTGTTTTATTTAAGGTTATTGTTTTATTTTAAGTTCTTTATTGTTTTATTTAAGGTTATTTATTGTTCTTTTTAAAGTTATTTAGTTTTTAGTATTTGTTGTTGCAGTTTTTTTTTCTTTTAAGAATTTTGTTTGTAAATAAAGTAGATTAAGTCAATTTTCATCAATTATTTTTTTTAAAAGATCTTTAAAAGCACTATACAGAAAATTTTCTATTTTAATATTGATAGCATTTTCCTTGGTTTCATTTGGTTTAATTGGCTGTTGATAACGATTTTCTTGGTTTCCTTGGTTTCCTTTGGTTTGATTTACTTTTGATAACATTTTCCTTGGATGTTCAATAAGAACACTTAAAATTAAGAACAATTATATATATATATATATATATATATATATATATATATATATATATATATATATATATATATATATATATATATATATATATATATATATAATATGTAAAGTAGTAGAAGAAAAAGAATAATAATTTGTGATAGTTTTAGTAAATACATAAAGGTTAACAAGTATTTTAGATTTATTGACCACACTGTCTTACGTGCATTTTCAAGCTTGAAATTAGAACAATGTTTATACTTTTCTGTGGTTATTTCATTATGTTATTATATATTAGCTAGTTGAGACCTTAGAAGGATAAAAAACATATGGAAGCCAGATTGCTTATCTAAATATTATGCTTCGAAAGTACATAAATTTTAAAAGTACGTGATATTTTGTTTATTTCCATCTTCATTTTTATGTAAATTCCTTGGTAGTCTGTAATTTTTTTTTAATTATAAATTTAGTGAGTTGCTTCACATACAAATACAAAAACTTTTGCATACAAATACAAAACATACAAATACAAAAATTTCTGCTTCAAATACAAAAATACCTATAGGGAAAAAAATTCTTAAGAATTGCTCATAAATTACGTCATTCTGTACAAGGATGGGGGAGGTAAGAAATTTGCGACACTTTATGACAAAAAGAGGAACGGTTCAAAAAGCTCCAAAAAAAGTATGATATAAAATAGGATCAAATTTTGAGTCCTAACTTTTTTGAAATTATTATATTAGAAAAGCCTAATAATAAATTTTAATATCACATTAAAAATAATATTTCTTTGGATTTGCAACTAAGGGGCTGTTCATAAATTCCGTCACACTTTTTTTTAAATTTTTAGACACTCTCTCTTCCTTTTGTCACAAAATCTTAACCCACAACCTTCACCCCTATTTTCAGTGTTACTTCAACGTTATTTATAAATATACATGATATTTAGACAAGCAATCTGCATTCATCTTATAGTATGAATAGCAACAGCGTAATAAAAAAAGCATGTGTATATATATGTGTGTGTGTGTATATATATATATATATATATATATATATATATATATATATATATATATATATATATATATATATATATATATATATTCCAGTAAGAATGCCTATACGTTTTATATAATACATCGTGTCATGTTTGTTTATATGTATACGTATTTAGATTGCAGACAAGTTAAATCTTAGTTTGGCTGAGTTCTTTCCTTCTAAAAGAAATTTAAGTATAATTGCTGAACCAGGAAAATATTTTGTTGAATCGGCATTTACATTATGCTGTAATGTGATTTCAGTTAAAGAAGTTAGTAACAATAACAAAAACGAGCAGTTTATGTATTATTTGAACGATGGAGTTTACACTTCTTTTAAGGATGTTTTATTTGGTAAAAAGTTTATACCATTTTTACTTCAAGAATCGAGCACGAGTTTGTTGTTTAAAAGCAGTCTTTGGGGACCAACCTGCGATTCAACAGATTGCATATCAGAGGAAATATATTTGCCGAAGGTATATAGATATAAAGGTTATAATAACTTCAAGTTCATGACAAAAAAACTTACAATTTTAAAGTAGTTTTTTTTTTTCATAAATAAATTTTAAAATATCACTTTTTATTATTTTTGCAACTTTTTAAATATTTTTATACTATTTAATATTTTTATAGCTTTCTGTTCAAGATTGGTTGTATTTTAAAAACATGGGTGCATACTCAACATGCTTTGCTTCAAAATTCAATGGCTTCAATCCTCCTGTTATTTATTATGTGAGCTCAAATAAAATAGACAATTTATTTTCTATTACTTTGGATGATTGAACTTTTGTAAAAGTTTATTTAGCATTAAACTAGTTAATTTTTAAATTATTTTTTACAAAATTGTCACAGTTCTATATTTTTAGTAATAAGATAAAAAAGCTCCCTCCATAAAATTATTTCCCTCCATAAAATTATTTACACAGACAACAAAAAATATACTTAAATCTGAATATTACACAAATAATCCGATAGAACCGAGAATGAATAACAAAGCAATTTTTGTAACAAATTCATTTGTTTCGCTTTATTTTTAAAATCTCGTTTCATTTGTCATTTAGCAAAAAGACTTTTTCAACCAACTTTTGTCTCGTTATCTATTTTTGTATTATATTTACTAAAGTAGGATCCATGTGGGGAGTCAAAATTAAAGCATAAAAATTTTATCTTTTACAATTAAAAAACAATAATCTTGTTTTTATTTATACAATAATAATATAGAATTTATAGATAATAATATAATTTAAAGAAGAAGAATATAGAATAAATTTAGTAAAGTTGTTTACAATAAGTTAACCAAAATTTTTTTTGAAAGAATTTGATTTTGTCGTTGAATACAATTTATTTTCGAAATTAAACTACAGTTAAAGTGGATGTTATTGCTAATAATTTTGAAAAAGCAATAAGTTTATTCCACGGAGATCTATACAGCAGACCGTGCAAACGGCCTAACTGACTAGGGGCCTATTTTAAATTTTTATTAATTATAGTCGCTATCTTAGTGGTATTAAAATATAGGTGAAAAATGTTGCATTTATGGCTGCATTACAATTTATTTAAATGCAAAAAAGAAATCATATAATTTAAAACTCTCAGTATATCGATTTCCTCCAAAAAAAAAAGAAAAACAAATGTGGATTAAAGTAATTCTTAATGCAAACCTAAAAGTAACTAATGACACTGTAGTTTGTGAGCTGCATTGGCTGATAAATTTTGAAAGAAATTTCCATCATTTCTTTCGCCTGGAATTTTTACCTATCCATTACGTTTAACAACTTACGCTTTTTTGTGTTTTCAAAATTTCGCAAAAGATGAACTATCAAATTTTTTAGAAAAAGAAAGTAATTGCTGAGATGAAAAAAATTCTTTTAAGTAATGAAAGAGATAGGTGTTCCATTAGTTTAGGTGTTCCATTAGTTTAAGATTAATAACACTTCATTTATAATCACAAGTTTATTTGAATGTTTTATAATCAAGATTAGCGAGGTTTTGCATTTTGAAACTTATCATTATGGTGCCAAAAATAAAGTTCCTACAATTTTTAAAAACAGAATTTCAAAAATCAACACATGGTCTATAATGAAAAAAAATTTACGTTATTTGAAGAATTTGATATCTAGAAGAAAAGAAATTGTAATTTAGTTTCTATGGGTACACAGTGTGTTAGTAGTAAGATTTATTTTAAGGAGGTTGTTATTAGATCTTTTGAGTATTTCGCTACATCCAGAGGTTTTTATAATCAATTGCAATAACAATTATAATCAATTGCATAACAGGTTATCAATTACCTTCTGTAAGAACTTTGACAAGAATTACTTCAAAAGTTTCTAAACTAAGCAAGAAGAATTTTTTGACTAATATTTTTTAATCTGTGGACAAAAACAGAAACTTTTTTTTTATTGTTTTTAAATGTTATTATACCATGATGGTACATTATTTGGATAAGCAATTGACAAATCAACTTCTCTTGCAAAAACTATATTTGATCTAATGGTCAATCGCTTATTTGGTGGACCATCCTTTATTACCAAAATGATGCCTATAAGTAAATTAAACTCTTAATTTCATTTTGAAGAAATTGGCGTTACTATTCAATCAATAAAAAAATCTTCGGGTCAGATTAAAGCTGTAATATGCGATTGAAATAGAATTTAAAAGGCATTTTTTTTAAATCTTTGAAAGATCAGCTACAGATAAAAGTTGGTTGAATGATGATGGTATTTTCTTAATCTTTGGTTATGTCCATTTGCTTAAAACAATAGAAATAATAAGCTTACTGAAAAAACTGGTCAACTTATTTTTTGTGTGTAAAGTGGCACAATGGGATCATCTTAAGAAACTTTATCAACTTGAATTCAAAAATCCAGTTAGTTTAAATGAAATTTCAATATTTTCAAAAACCAATTGATAGGCAGTCAGTTTCTACCTGCTTAAGAGTATTTTGTGAGAAAAACTTACCATACTTTAATTAATCATCCAAGACTGCAGTATATAAAAGAAAAACAAGATACATATTTCTCTTGATACAAATATGGCTCTTATATATATATATATATATATATATATTAGGGTATTTAACTTGTGAAGATAAAGAACTATCAGGAAATGAATTGTTATATAAAACCACTTTTTACTACCAAAAGTATGGATAGACTCACAATATTCCCACATATATTTATATTTATTTATTTGTTTAAAGTTTACTGATTTTTTTTTAATTAAAGTTTTTTTTTAAGGTTTTGATGATATATATATATATATATATATATATATATATATATATATATATATATATATATATATATATATACATATATATATATATATATATATATATATATATATATATATATATATATATATATATATATATATATATATATATATATATATATATATATATATATATATATATATATATATATATATATATATATATATATATATATATATATATATATATAATATGAACCTAGTTGATGCGCAAACAGTGTTATAAAATAGGTTCTAACCTTAACTTTCTAAGCCGGTAAAACCCTTTGATGGAATGATAGTCCTTAGTATAGAGATCACTTGGATATAAGTATCAAAATCAGATTACAACGTTCTGGCAAGTTATTTTCATTTGATTTTTCATCCTAGTTAACCCAAAACGTGTTTTAAACATTTAATTTAAGTATTAATACGTATTAAAACGTATTATAGACCTGTTAAACACTTCTTGCGTTTAATAGAATGCTTATTGATTGCACAAACATGCAAAATTTTTAAATCTAGCTAAAAGCACGTTGTTTTTACTTTTCTAATAAGAGCTAAATTGAGCTTATCTAATTTTACCAAAAATGCCAAATACTGGTAAAAACCACCAAGAATGCAGGAAACACTGTGACTGCTTGATCTGTTCATTTGGTAAACTGAGACACTGATTTGTTCAATTGGTAAACTGAGGTCAAATGAAAATTGAATTTGAACAAAGTTCAGCAGCTAGAACACCTTCTTTAACAGTAGAGAAAAAGATGCTCAGACTGTTTTTCAATTATTGGTAGAGGATTGTCTCACAACTGCACAAAAAGGGTCTTTGATAAATAATCTTGTTGCTGTAGTAACAAAGGATCCTTTGACATCAGAAAAAATTGCAGCTCTTGTTGTTTCAAATAAAGCTCCTTCTTCACATGGAACTGTTTGATTAAGTCAACCCTATGGTGGAAGAATGATACCAGTAACACCAAGTATGAATTTAGTTTTTTATAGTTCAAATTAATGACAAGTTAAATTTTTAACTTTTTGTATTCACTATAGGTTCGTCATCAACTAAACAACTTTTCTCTCCAAATTCATCAATAAGTGTAAAAGACTTTGCTAAAGTTCAAGCAAATACAGGGCTTTCAAACAATGGCATTAAGAGGTTAGCAGTTACTATTAATCAGTCAATCTCACAACATATTGTTAGAAAAAATTACGCCATAAAATTTGACAAATTCAACAAGCAATTTATACATCATTTCACAAGTTCATTAATTCAAGATCACACTGCATGTGAGGACAGTCATACATTGCAAGGACTTCCATGAGCTTAAAAATGAAATTATAGCCATGAGAAGTACATCAAAAAATCACATGGTAAAGGTTAGAATTGACGGAGGAGGTGGGTTTCTGAAAGTTAGCCTATCAGTAAACGACCAAACTCACCACCTACTGCTGAGTGTGATTTACCTGAAGCCATTGATGCAATGCGATAACTTCTTAAAGGTCTCACTGGTGTTGGCAATGTTATATCACTAACTTTTTGTTGCGTTGAGGATTTATCTGTATTTCCTTTAAAGCTGATTGAATAGTTTAATGCATATATTATTTGCTATAAACCTGAGGCTGAAATTTTCGAGTTCTGTATTCATAGTTTCAAACATAGTTTTTGCATCAGGATGATTAAAAAATAAATTTGTATCGTCAGCGAGCATAATTGTAGATACTTGTTGCGTCAATATTGCTTTGTAGTATCTTGCAGATATTGAATATTTTTAAGAGAATGGAGAATTTTAGTATTGTCAGCAAAATGAACAGCTTTTGTGATTTGAATATTATCAGGGATTTATCCAACATAGTATTTATCCATTTATATCATAATTTTCAAGTTTAGAAATAAGAAACTTGTGTAAAATTTTGTCAAAGGTTTTTTTAAATTCGAGGTAAATGTTGTCAGTAAGAATATTATTATAAAGTTTCCAATAATCAATTACAGTTAGAAAGTTAGTTAAGGAGGAATAACCTGGGCGAAATCTATGTTGATGCTTTATAAGTTGTTGTTAATTATGTGTGTCATAACATGTTTTTGAATAATTTTTTCAAAATTTTTTATTGAGGCATAAATTATACAGATAGGTCAATAATTTTTTCCATTGTTTCTATTCGGTGATCTGTAGCATAAGTCTAATACCAACTTAGAAGTATTTGTTATTATTTCACAACGGAATAATTCAGATGAAAATACGTCAAGAATGACTTTAGTGTGTTATGTATTAATATTTAAAGCCTGAACATCTATGACATAAATTATTGTTGTGGTTTGTATATACATGGGCCACGGCAACGTAGGGAGAAGGGGACCGAGGGGGCTATTTTTTAAATAAATTAAATTATTTATTAGTATTGTAATGGCATCATTATATTAATATAAATTTTTTTAAATATGTATTATATATTCATGTATTGTATTATTTTATATCATAATTTGTTCAATTTAAATACTTCGACTAAGCAAGAGTAAAGTGTATAAGCATTGACTGACAATCAGTGGCAGGTCCAGAAATTTTTGGTGGAGGGTGTGTGGG